CGTTCCAGGAAGATGTCACACTGCTAGAAACACCCAAAAGTGGCAGGAAGAAAATGGTATCCAGAAGTTGCCCTGGCCGAGCCAATCTCCTGACGTGAACTGCATCGAAACCTCTGGGCCATACTCGACCGGCAAGTCAAGAAACAAAAAACAAAAAAAAAACAACTTCGAAGAGCGATCTACTCCAAGTTTTGAAGCAAGAGTGGGCGAAAATCCCACAATCTAAAATTGACGAGATGATTCTCACGATGCCCCAAGAGATCAACGAACTCCACGAAGCGAAAGGAAGATTTAGTAGATATTAATTAGATTATAAATATATCAATTCATGTGAATATGACTGAAATTTTTTATATTTTCTGGAAAGGTGGTGTCTATCTACTCGTGACCATGCTGTGTACATTGTACTGTGTATTTTACAACATATTCTTTATTTTTTCATATCACACAGTTATAGAGCAAAGTTTTTGCAACCGTCATATTATCATTGTGTCGCACCCAAAATTGAAAACTGTTTCATGGAACTCTAATTATCCTCCAGGATATATTAATTGCTCAACGTTTACTAGTACGATACAGAGAACATGTGCTGTCACATCTTTGTTAAGGCACCGTAGACAGATATTGATAAATGTTTGCACCTGCACAGTTAGTGATTTCATGAATGGAATTAAGTCTCTGTTTATTTGTTCATTTTTTCCTTCATGACCTGCATGCATGAAAGTGTCAATGATAATGTCTTCACAAACTTAGTAATACAGCAGCACTATTGATATGTATGTGTTGTCACACCAAATAACCAACTAGTTATGATCACTAACATCACCTGCTCTCCAGTGGAACAGCGATATGTCTGCGGACTTACAACGCCAGAATCCGGGTTTCGATACCCGTGGTGGGCAGAGCACATATAGCCCATTGTGTAGCTTTGTGCTTAACTTCAAACAAACAAACAAACATTACTTAAGACACGTAATACCATACGTTTATCTGCTCTTTCCTGCAAAAAATAGGAATTTACAAAATTTCTGACGGATTTCCATGTTATCTGTTTAAGAATTTCGCCGCTCCCATATCATCCTGTCAAGATCACACTTGTTGTCAAGGGCATATATATATATATATCTTAAGGCAGCGTTTCTTAACCCTTTCAAAATCAAAGGCCGTCTCGCTACCTCCCTAAACTATCGCAAAATATTCTGTACGTTTTTTTAATTCCACATAGCAGCAAAGTGGTTGTGACAGACCTGAGGTTGAGAAACACGTTATATCTCTCTCTCCTATATTCAACCTTTCTCTAAACTAAACGAAACTAAACCGAATGCCTGAATAATGCATTATACTCAATCTCCGAACGTAAATGTATATTGGTTTATGTTTTGCGGAAAACTGAAACCAAATGATATTATAAAAACATATCTGCACATGTCTTGTACATAAAGGACGTCTCTACATACACATGGGAGAAAACTCAGTTCACAGTTATCCAAAGATTACAAAAGAAGTTTCAACAGTAAATGCTTAATTTTTGTTTTAGCTATCCTTGCCTTTCTATTATTCATGTATACAAATGGTTTACTTTGGGCAATCGTTGTAATGTTTTTGCACATACGTAGTAGTATAAAACTCTGTTAAGACATATTATTTGGTAGATATATCATTCGTACCTATTTTAATTTGAATAATGGCATTTCTCTATCAATACCTATTAAGATCGATAATAATATATAGTTTGTAATGTATTTAATTGGAGTGTAACTATATAAAACAATTTATATTTTGGCTAATCATATTTGGGACAGCAAGCTTAATATCCTGTCAAACGGTACCAGTTATCGTTTGTTCTATAATTTGATCCAAAACGCTAGCCTATAATAAGCTTCCAATACCGGTATAAGATAGTTTTAAAATATAGAACAACATTACTGTTGTGTAGCAAATGTTTCAATGTCTTCTTTCACACTCGGTGTGGTATGCTGATGGTTATGTTATTTGCTTTCACAAGCCACTATACTAATCAGTACAATATATTTTAATAACGAGTACATCATATTGTAGCACTCTTCTAAGAATATAAGATTATATTTCTTCAACGTTTTTCCTTTTTTATGGTAACGCATGAGAAAAGTTATTTCCTAGAGTATGGATTATAAACAGTTTTATTTAAAGTTTTACTATACTTCTCACACTATTTCCAGCGGTTGATGGAGGATGGACAGAATGGAGTGTTGTGTCCAGTGTCCCTTGTTCTAAACACTGCGGTGGAGGAAAAGAAGAACGGGTACGCACGTGCACTAATCCTGTTCCTCAGTATGGAGGAGCCAATTGTACAGGTCCGGAAACCAAGACAACTGACTGTAACACGCACACTTGTGATGGTGAGATTTTGACGACCTGTTTTATTCATTCTAAAAATCACCTTTGGCATTTAATATTCCTAACAAAATTGAAATTGTATACAATACTTTGATAAATTTGCTTTTCTTATAAAGTTGTTTAATTTTACATAAACAAGCGCGTATTTTATGGTTGTGCAAAGAGCGTTTTTAATGGTTGTGCAAATATCGTTTGTAATGGTTTGATGATTTATTGTGTGTATAAATATGGTTGGACTGTGTTGTGTTCATTATTTATATGAGGTATCACAAAGATGGTTGAACTGTGTGGTGTTCAATATTTATATGAGGTATCACAAAGATGGTTGAACTGTGTGGTGTTCAATATTTATATGAGGTATCACAAAGATGGTTGAACTGTGTGGTGTTCAATATTTATATGAGGTATCACAAAGATGGTTGAACTGTGTGGTGTTCAATATTTATATGAGGTATCACAAAGATGGTTGAACTGTGTGGTGTTCAATATTTATATGAGGTATCACAAAGATGGTTGAACGTGTGGAGTTCAATATTTATATGAGGTATCACAAGTATTTTACTTGTTTTTAGAAAATTCCTTTATTTAGAGGCGGTGATTATTGCTGACATATATAAATAAACACATTATAAAACCCCAAAAAGAAACAATTAAGTAATTTGCTCAGGGCCAGCTTTAATGCGGTATAGTGAAGAGCCAGGGGACCCCTGAAATATCATAGACTTTCTCAACTCAATACCATCCATCAATATATTTCTAGACTTATTTTAGTTTTTGACCCCATTATATGTCTCATCCCTCCTACCCGATTAGGAGCCGGGACTGAATTTCTCTTTTAAAGTGGACCTGCATATAGATATATTTAGAAAATGTACCATTACTATCTGTCATATTTAGGACTTTCTAGCATAGTATATAAGAAATTTTATACTTATGCATTATTTCCGTGTTTACCTTGAGTTTGGTGAGCAGTGACGTATTTTACACATATTTACAGAGTGATTATAAAGAAGTCCTCATATTAAAATGATAATATCTTAAACTACCAGGGGCACATTGAGAGCCATAAATTATACTCAGGACAGTTTGTACTTGATACAGAATGTTTAAAAACTGTCACGAAAGGTGTACAATTTATCTATCCTCATTCTCAATCAGAATGTAAATGCAGTCTATTTATGAAGTTAGTGCAACCATAATATGTTCTAGACAGTGTTCCTTGCAGTTCACTTCTAATGCCTATTCTTAGATCCTAAAATTTCGAATAGAGATTTCACTTGAAAAAACACCCAAAGATATAAATGTATTAGTGCAATGCCCGGGAATCTCGACAATCATTTCTGCTTGAATGAAAACAAATATGAGGGATTGTTCTCGTCTTCTTGGAAGGTAACGTTCTCAAAGTATGGATAATGTACTCTATCAAGTGTTTCTCGTAAATGACTCTATCTATGGAAATAGTTTAGACACGTCAGATTTAATCAGTAATTATAAGAAATGAGCATTTTGGATGAATCTGCATCATACAATGGTAGAACAGCCGTGAGTTTGCTGCTGGTGAAATGCATGTGATTTTTCATGAGTAATATCCATTAATGATCTAACGAAACTCTAATTTGGAAAGACAAGTTGCAAGAAGGATCACTATCCTTAATGTATATAGGAATCTAAAATGATGTTTTGAGCTTGGCCTATTGGTCAGCGTATTAGACTGGGAATTCGAAGTTGAAGACGTGATGCTGCCAAATATGGTTTGCACTTTAAGTTGTACGTGCTTTATAAGATTAGGAGTCTATCCCTGGATTCAGTTCAGTATTCAAGTGACAGGTGCTGCCTCTGGTCCGCAGCTATGCCCATTGTGTGTGCAAGGTGTCGTTTAGGTGACAAAAAAACAGACTTTTTTAAAGTGCAAAGCTCAAGGTAAAACAGCAGTCATTCGATCTTATACAATGATAAATGTTTGATTCAAGTGCCCATTCTCGTTTTGTTGAAGTTAATGAAAAAAGTTTCCAGTATCATTTGGTTTGGAAATATTCTGTTCCATATCCAAACCTTCTTGAATAAAACTTATGATTTTCAATGTGCCCTGTGTAATTTAAATTTTTTGGAAATTTACAAAACTATATTTTTGTAAGTCTTTTGTGTTTGAAGATGTCACCGATTTTGATAGATTAGAAATTGATTAATGCTATCTTATAGTCTATAATGTATCCTCCAATATCAGTGAACATCAAAATATATCTACTTAATTTATTCTAAATACTCGCAGGTTTTATTAATACTAAAGTAACATATAGCTTACAATTATCGTTGTTAGCACTATCTAGATTACGAATTTCAAAGTCGTTATCGTTCTCGAACTGTGCGCTGCTCAGGTAAAGATTGGTAAACCCTTAGACTTGCATAAACATCTCTGTGATAAACAGTTAGTTTTACATTGACATCTGACTATCTGTATGATAGTTTGTGGTGATTAGAGTTCCTCTTTTGTTTTTGGCTTGAGCTTGCAATCTGTGTGCATAAATAAATTGTCCTGTAGAAGAAGCCAAGGCACTTTCATAGTAATTCTGGCTTGGCCACATACTCTGCTCTAGATATGTACTCTCAGGATATGCTTTTTAAAGGCTTCAAGAGTAGGTGTTAATTTGTTATTTTCATCCAAATGTTCCAGAAAAGATGCCATTGCAGTTATAGAATGTCCTGAATTTGAATGCCTTCTAAACAATATGCAGCACCTACAAATGTAGCCAAAGTGGTAATTGAATACTAGCCACATCATTATTTTCTGAAGGCAACTTGTTTGTTTTAGCACAAAGCTACACAATAGGCTGTATGCACTCTTTTAGATCAAACTAACTCTTGACCTCATAAGATATACCTATGTAACAGTTTTGGTGTAGCCAGAAAGAGTTGCTGTTTGGCATTTGTATTGTTTGAGATACCAATCAGATCAAAGTGATATTTTATTAAATGGTTCAGATATTCAAAAACATGATCTGCATCGACAAAGCAAATAGATGTCATTCTTAGTGACAGGTATGCTGCTTACTTCAGGTTTCCCCAGGGTTTGGGGCAGAGAGCATATATGTTGTGGGTGTAGTGTGGCTATAGTTTGTTTTATTTGGTGTTGTCAGTTCCAAATAATATCGTGCTGTTTCTCTAACTTCAAGGTGAAGTTTCGGGTCTGCACTCTGTGTAGTTGTCACAAAAAGAGAATTGTGTCCACTCTGTGTAGATAGTTCACCATGGTTTTGAACATGGCATTCTTGAAACATCTTCGACATATTCTCATTGACCAAAGCTTGAACAAGATGAGCGTTTGCACATTTTTCCAATTGAGCTTTCCTGTGTTTATTATTATGAGAAAGAAATGTTTCTATTTCAGTTGTTGCTTTGAAACATACTTCTTCCCGATGCGGATTCTCCTTGAAGAACCTCTCTAAGATCATTTTATAGAGAACTACATACGTTTATGTTTTTGTACAAAGACAGCATTTATAGTGTGAGCATTGGACGATAGCTCCATATACACAAGTATAATCTAGCCCTCAGGCATAATGTATTCCATAATTTTCTACAGATGCACCCGCACCCCTAAAAGCAACCATGACAACATATAGTCATAACATCTGGGTGCAAAACTTGCTCTTTCAGTCAGGTCTAGCATCCAACAACTGCACTATTTTTTCCTAGAGGACCATGTTGAATGATATGAAAGTTGGGTGATGTTTACTAACTGCTAATTCCTTTGACCTTTTGGTTTTCATCATTATAATCAGCAAAGTTGACCAATAACGTATCACCTCCAGGAGTACAGGCAGGGCATTAATATCTGTCGTCATTAGGCTTGTTTACAGGAGTGTAAGTTATAGGTTGCCCAGCCATGAATATGATTTTAGTCTTCTATTCTGGATATGAAAGAAAAAACAACCCATCTAAATTGGTTTGCTTATACGATTCTACAACACTTGTCTTGCTGATGGTAAATATTTTTTACCCTTCTTGGCTGATGACAACGTGGACTGGCTTTGGCTGGATACATGGCATCTTAGCTATGTCAAAGAAAATGAATATGCTTTTCTTGAGAAATGTGGAACATACAAGCCTTCAACCTATTTTATGTTTTCACCAAACGTATTAGCAAGGGATGTTTTCATGAGTTAGAGAACAACTATTAGTGTGAGATAAGGAATCTTATGATCCAATACTGAGGATTAATTTTCTTTAGAATCTTATTGCCGTAAAATACATTACTTCCAGTTTATGGGTAACTCGGTTTATTTCTGTCATGATGTACTATAACCTATAAATAGATGGTTGGGGTTTAAGATAAGGTTACATCTGAGAGAAGAATCGGAATATGTTTAATTAATATAGAAATTGTTAGATTAGGGCAGTTATGAAAAGGGAAAAACAACATTCTCAGGAGGCTGAATAAAGCTTAATTTGGATTATTAGGGAAAACATATTTTTATAGCTTAACTGAGCCTCTTTTCATCTTACGTTTATTGCAAGTGATACTACTAAATTCCATAACTCTAATATTGTAAGCTTAGCCATTAAAATCAAGGCCATAACTGATTTGGAAGCTCACATATTGGAAAATCGGAGCTATTACTAGAAGTTCAAGATGGTTGCTACATAAGCATCAGAGCAAATCCAAATATGTAACTCGAAAATCTCCAAAATTTTAGAACGAAACATAAAAAGATATAATCATTCTAAATATAGGGGTTATCTTTATTGTCTATCCCTTCTCTGTCAAAATCAACCTTTCTCTTCTGGTAGTTATTTAGTGGCCTATTTCCGTTAACTATCTCATTTCTTTCTGCTCATCGCTATCAGTTTTTATAAGGTGAATAGACAAAATTGATTTTCTTTCTAAAGAGCATCCTTGATTCAGTTCTAGTTTGTTTATGTTGTTAACTATAGACTGCAAGAACATGATTACAGTAGAAGCATTTCACTAAGGTTTTCCAGAGAAAGATCTTCAAATATAAGACTTCTTCCATTACTCTACATTTGTGGAATACGAAGTAATTATAGTTTACCTGCCATTTGTTTAAACTACCGCTGGTTATCACAAGTTGTGTAACAGCTCTATATATGGTATACTATCACATCATTAGTTTATAACTATATTTGTCATAAAACATTAGTATTAGGTATATCCATTGCCGACAACGCATTTCGCCCAATCCAGAGCTTTTCAGGCCGGTTGGGATACAATAAACACAGCAATGGTTAGAACACTGTTTATATAAACAATTTGATATAATGACAGTTGTGTACGCTTTTTACAAGCCGGCGAAGAATTACTACAATTATATTTGTCATAAGACATTAGTATTAGGCCTAGTGCATTTTTAAACATATATTTTTAATCTAGTCCATAGTTTAGTTTTATTAAAAATCTTTAAATAACTTTCCTTGGTGTATTTGTTATTGTTGTTATATTTCATTGCTGTGACCATCTTCATAGTTATTATCGTTAATACATTCAGGCTGGTTTTTATGAGTTGAATTATATTTTTTACTTCCTTCTGCTGCACAATTTAAAACTAAACAAGTGTACATAAAGAAGATATTGCTTTAGGTCGAATTCATTGTTTACAGATGTAGTTCATAGTATGTTTGGAGAAGTTATTGCATTTTCTTTGATTATTTTTAATTCTGTTATTAACATTTTTACTGTTTATTGAGCAAATGTGTTATTCGTTGAACTTGGTATTTTTTGTACGCATAAACAATATTTCTATAATATATATATCTATAACTACTTGACTCTATAAATAAACGGTAATGTGTTTAGTCATTTATTTTAGACATTAACCTGTCAGAACTGGGTTTTCGTTGGTCACTAGCAGTTGTTAGGGAGGGTTATATAAAATGTTGCTTATACTGGTGTCATGTTTTTCTTGGGACAGGAAATCAGTGAATGTATATGAAGCAAAACACTTGTTTTTACCTGTCTACTAAGTAGCTTTATATTTCATTCTTTCCTTAAAGTTAGTTTCATTAACATTATTGAGTATACTGTTTGGTATATGTACATACACGTGTTTTTATTTATTTACCATCATACTGTTTTCTACTTAAGAAAATTGTTTTGCATTGTAGTTTGGTATATGGACTTCAGACAAACCTTATTCTCCTAAGCTGGACACGCCTCATGAGGTATTTTTGGTATTACAGCCGAAAATATCAGTATAACGAGAGCATCCAACCGTTCATCGTTGCATTTTGAGAATTAAAGTATTTTATTTTGTGATATTGAATACTCCAAATAGAGCGGCATTTAGAATTAACTACATTATTTACCATGCTAAATTATAGCTTTAATCTATGTATTTAGCTTGATCAAAAGTTATTAATAAATACTCTATTTTATTAGCCATTGGCTTATTTTTGTATGCAAGTAAATATTCTTTTCGATCGTGTTTCTATCTTATATAATTTATTTTTAACTTACAGCTTGTTTTAAAGCCGACTGTTCATTTACTTTTATTTATATTTGGGGACAACCGGGTCAGGTGAAAAGGACGCTACAGACTAATGAAGTGAACGAGTAGACAGTAGACCCTGAGCTAGTAGAGATATACAGGTGTGCCAGACACCAGCCCTGTTAACTCTGAAAATAAAAAAAAATATTCAGTAAACTGCCTAGTAAATGAGATAATAATGAAAAATATGTTAACAATAGTTTGAAAACTGCAATCATTTTGAAGTACTATGCCACCGTGGATTTTTACAAAATGATCAGAACAATTAAATAAAATATCGAACGCGTTTGAAGATTTGCTTCTTTTTTTTCCGTCAGGACAGGTATAAAAATAATAAAGGTGTAGGAATAATTCTTAAAAAGGAACTCGCTAAGATCTTGGATTAAAATAATTAATAAAATGATGAGAGTAAGATAGAAAAATAAGCCTCAATAAGGCACGGCAATGCGAAGATAAAAAGTAGAAATGAAATACAAAGAGTTACATTTCATTGCAATAATTTGTCAAAATACTGAAACGTAATTAAAAATAAATGTAAATAAAAATGTTATAATAAAGTGCTATATCAAATTATGGGTATTTTGAAAAATGTGTCGTATATTAGATGTATTAGAGCCCCCCAGTGGTACAGCGGTATGTCTGCGGACTTACAACGCTAGAATCCGGGTTTCGATACCCGTGGTGGGCAGAGCACAGATAGCCCTTGTGTAGCTTTGTGCATAATTAAAAACCAAAAAAAAAACAACCAAGCTGTATTAGAGTCTATGTTAATGCTAAGTGTGGCACTAGTTAATTAGTAGAGTATAAATTAATGCAATGGTGACGCTGGTTAGGCAGTAGTTTCTAAATTAATGCTGAAGGTAGAACTGGTTAGCTGAATGCTAAGTGTGCTACTGGTTAGTTGATACAGTCTAAATTAATGCTAAGGGTGGTATTGGTTAGGTTTAATATATAGCAAGATTCTTTCATTCCTCTACGTTTTTTACTAACCTGAAATCATTTTCCACATAATATGTGTATCAAGGGAATGACGGGATATGTTAAAGTGTTCAACAAATTAGTTTGAAACCATGTTCACGAAGTTTTAGTTGTTGATTGTAGAAACATCCTATACATTTTAGTTTTTGGTTTTGTTCTTTTAACACCAAATTAAAAATGCATTTCTAACATCAACTAGGATAAACATAAATTTATTTGTGAAAGGGGTGATTTACAAGTTAATAAATTATAAATAAAAATACTAATATCTCCACATTTATTATGTAAAATAATTGTTTAATTAAGGAGAATAATACTTTATATAATAATAATATTTACAAGAAATTGTACAAGGTAAATAACACCTAATGTAGAATTATAATTCACGATGAATAAATAATTCATCATAAAATGTGCATACTTTATTATATATCGTCTTTTCACATCAACTCTTTGAAATCTTATTTTATCAGAGGAGATCTTATCTTGGAATTGGTTGGAGTGGAGTGAGTGTTCAGAACCGTGTACTGTCGGCTTGAGAACCAGAGTGCGAGAGTGCTACAACGAAACATCAAATGATGACTTCAGCTGTGTTAATCGTCCCGACTTGGCTAAGGAGACGCAAAACTGCACCGCTTGGAGTTTAAAGAAATCCTTCAACCACACTGGATGTCCAAGTAACTTACACAATTCATCATTGCCTCTAAATTTTCACATTTTTTGCACTTTAATTTTAGTATTCTGAATGAATCAGAATTTAATCGCATTACTAATACAAATTATTTCAATCCATCACTTTTCTCCTAACTAGTTTATCAATTATTATTAGCAATGTACTCTTGGCTAATAATATAATTTTTTATCAATTTGAAAGTTATGATAATGTATTTTTGCAAGTTTGTGTTTCACGTTATAAATATTGTTTAGATAGTTTCATATTTTAAAATGTTAATTGTTTTAAATATTTTCTATTTGCTTCACAAAGGATATTGTGATTTAAGCAGACGTATCAATAACATCTTATCTTCCCTTGTCTATATGGTTTAGGTAAACGTGGCATCAACACATTCCTTATCCTCGTCTATATGATGTGGGTTCAAAACATTCTCTGGCTAACGTAGACATGGCTTCCACACATTTTCTTCCCTTGTCTATACGGTTTAGGTAAACGTGGCATCAACACATTCCTTATCTTCTTCTATATGATGTGGGTTCAAAACATTCTCTGTCCGTGTGTATGTGGCTAACGTAGACATGGCTTCCACACATTTTCTTCCATTGTATATAGGGTTTGTTGGGGAGCATTAATAACATTTCACAAAAAAAAAGGTTGAAACACATTTCTAAGCGTATTTTTCTATTTATGTTCTATATCTTTACATACATCTTTATCGTGGATATGTAACACTTACCGTAATTCTATTCAAGGATAGTCTGCTAGTTCTCATTAACTTTCTGAACAGAAGAGATACACCATACCTGACACTGAGACTTTCTTTAAACTAGTTCAATCAGTAGTTACTATGAATGGCTTCAAATTTAATGACCAGTTATATCAACAGTTCATTAGGGGTTTCAGTGCGTACAAAAATGGATGTTTCTATTTCAGATTAATTGAAATAATACATATGTTCCACCTTTTTTTTTTCATTCACTGCATTGAAAACATCTTAGGTATTGCTACCTGCACAACAGTACAAGTTGAGTAATTTATCAGTTATATCCAACATTCACAACCAGCTCTCAGGTACGTATACAAGATCTCCAACAAATGTACTTCTATCGAAAAACGAAAAAAATAGTGACAGAGATTTAATTTTAAAGTGGAAAGAAACTTTCCCAGACTGAGGTGTTCAGAGATATTGATATCCTCCTTCGCTCCACTCGTGAAAGATTTATTAAACCAGCGTTTAAATTATGCGAAAATGCAAATATATTTGCATATATGTACATACATGTTTACTTGATTCTTGGTTTACAAGATTAGATACCGAAATAACCAGTTTAGGATCATTCATAAGATAGCAAAGAATATAAGGTCGAGGCAATGAAGGCAAAGCCAAGGCCGCATTTCGTTGGTTGAGTGGTCGTCGTACCACACGTCCAGGCTTTATGAGAAGGAAACAAACGAATCTTATTCAGGACGGCGGGGATACGCGTATCCTATGCCGAGAATTTTGCTGTGGGGGGAACAGAGTGCCCCGAGAAAATCCACTTTCACTGGCTGAGCGCCTAATAATTTACCCAACCAGTATCAGAGATGGAAACCTGAAACTAAGGAAAAGAAGCACTAGTGCAAATACAGTGAGAAGTAATTTGAACTTTCTGATTTAATGTTGATACATAGATATTGAACTCTTCTTCACTTGTGTCGTGGTCATTGGTACCTGGATCGTCGGTGGGTCAGTCTGAATAGCTTTCCTGTTTTGCTTTGGCTGGAACTGTGCCTTCTGATTATTTTTCTTGGGGGTTTCTGTCATCGTTTCTGTTTCTGAGACTTCAGCTGGTTCTGTTTGAGTTTCTTGGTCATAAACTGGTGTGGTTTCTTTAGTTGCTGTTTGGATTTCCTGGTTTGTCTCGTTAGTCTGTATGTGTTTGGTCTTGAAAGTATTGATTGGTGGATTGTCTGTCTGCTTGCGTGTTGGAATAGAGGTGTTTTTGTGTTGTGTTGTTCTTCTGTAGAGTCTTTCAGCTCTGAAATGTTAAAAATAGAAAACGCATCCGTGAGTAAGAATATAGTTGAAATAGGTAGTTATCTTTAGGAAATTTGTAAGTTGGCCTTATTTTCGTGATCGGATCCCGTGGACTGCTTTAATTTCGGATTGTGTTGATACTTCTAGAGTTTGTTGGGTGTCCTTGGTCGCTACGTTCCTAAGAAAGACAGAAAAAATTTTTGTATTACTTTTTGTTGGTTGGAGAACAGAGGTAGTGAAAGCCGTCGATTGTGAGGGGTTGGATAAGAATCCTTCCCCTACGTGGTAGTTTTCCCTTGTATGCATCAATGGATGAATTTGGGTTCTTTCGTAAAATAAATTAAACGACTGTCGGTGGGTAAAATCCATCGATAATCACGGGTGGGACCTTCGGCTGCAAGGTCGTCGGATTGGTGCGAGGCGACGTCGACCCAGCGTTGTTATTAAACATCAGCGATCTCTGTTGTACTTCCATGCTTGACACTAGCATCGACATAATCAAAATGTATTACAAATAGGCACTGACGGTCGTGCTTATTACCTAAAATCACACATCTTCTAAGTAAAGTATGTAGGGGCAACAACAGTAATAATTTGATATGACTGATATTATAATATATACCCTGTACCCAATAAAGTCGTGGATCTACAAGCAATCACGTCAAGTTTGATTTATCTTAATTTCTCGAAATAGCATGAGTCATAAAAGCCAAAATGCATTTATCCAGATAGAACAGTTCGATAACTGTCTGCTCATTATGATTTTAGTGACTGGGTGCAGGGGTGCTGTGAGGTTGTTGTTGTTTGTTATTAAGCACAAAGCTGCTCTGCTAACCACGGGTATCGAAACTTGGTTTCTGGCAGTATAAATCCGCAGACATAGCACTATGCCACTGGGAGGCAGGGTGCTGTGAAACCTTATAAGTATAGCGGGTATTGGTATAATAAGTCTATAGTAAAGGCATGGTGTGGTATTACCGAGCCTAGAGCCAAGTGCATAAAACTTATCATGAAATTAAAAATAT